GCTGCTGCTGCTGCCCGCCGGCTGTCCGGTGCGGGCGCAGAACGACACGGAGCCCATCGTGCTGGAGGGCAAGTGCCTGGTGGTGTGCGACTCCAGCCCATCGGCGGACGGTGCTGTCACGTCCTCCCTTGGCATCTCCGTGCGCTCTGGCAGCGCCAAAGTGGCCTTCTCCGCCACTCGGAGCACCAACCACGAGCCGTCGGAGATGAGCAACCGCACGATGACCATCTACTTCGACCAGGTCAGCCGGCCGGTTGGCGCACGGTGCCTCTTGCCCTGGAGAACAGGGCGGGAGCCTGGGCGCTGGGGATGGGGCTTCCCGCGTCCGGGACCTGCAGTTCCAGGTTCTTCCCTCCTCTGCCCTGCCCTGCCCTGTGCCTCTCCCTTCTTTCTCCTGTTTCTAGTGTGCTCTCCTTGACATTCCTTCCTTATCAAGTTATAGCTTCCTTGTAACTGTCCGCTCAGGTGGCACTTTGGTGACTGAGAACCCCATCAAGCTAAGAGATCAGAAAGCTATTTCCCAAAAGGGAACTGCCTGGTTTACTTTTTGCCCAGGTGAGGGGCTGTCATTTGTGGTAGATGGGCCTTCCTCACCCAGGTGGCCAACACAGAGACTGAGCATTTTAAACTCTCCACGCTCAAGGAGGGTCCTCCCGAGGCCCAGACGCTCAGAAAAGAGGTGCCTATTGCTTATTTTGGAAAGGACTGGGAAGAGGATATTTATCTTCAAGAAAAATAAGTGAGCAAGTGTGTGAGGGAAATAGCAGGATGGTTATATAAATACAAAACGAAATAGCTTCTTATATAACTGCAATGTGTAGTGAAAACAATATATAAGACAATCTACAAATACAATATATCACGATGTCAATATGCAATGTGGTTATGGGAATAATAATAATAATAAAAGGATCGATGACTTCTGTTGCCCTAATCCACTTAACTTTTCCCACTGGGGCCAAAGCCAAAGGGTTATGAATAGGATCCTACCTTGGCAACCCCCTCTCTGGTGTGGCTGCTCAGGATAAGAGGTCACGACCTTCCTCTTGGATCCCTCCCCCCTTGGTTCTGTTGTTTTTCAGAAACAAATTGAAACATAATAGTGCTTTCCAAACTTGAAAGCATCAGTCCATTCCTTTGGACACTAAGCCTTCCACAAATGGAACTCTCTTCAGCTGTCCACACTGAGACCTCCCCTCTGCATAAACCCACTCTCACTCCTGAGTATCGATAAACCTGCACACACACCCTTGATTCATTTTAGGCCAGTGTGTTCATTTGTTTTCCTTGTTGTTGGAGAGTCTGTACATTCATGAAGTTTTGTGGGATTTGGGGGTGGTGATGGGAGGGAGTCTGCCTTTAATCTGTTTTTATTTATAGGACATAACAATATTTACTTTATGTTCAAAGAAAGGAGACAGTAAGAAATAGGTAACTATTTACTGGATTAATAAGTCCTCTGTTATGAGTTACTATAATTTACCTTCCCATGTCCTACAAATAGTTTCACCACCTTTTTACGTCCATCGTTCATTTGGGTCAAGAAAACAGTGATGTGGGGCAGGGTAAGGGGCAGCAGGGTTCTCATTTTATGGATGAGGAACCTGTGGCAGGGCAGGCTGGATGGTGCGCCACTGGTTCCTGGTTAGGGAGAAACAGCCTGCTTTTCTGAGCTGGTGGGAGATCTTTCCTCTACAGCAGGGCTCCGAATCTGCCAGTTTCCTGAATTTAAAATTGAGGTGAAAGAGTTGAGGTAAAGAGTTGGAAGAAGCAGCTCCAAGGGCTTGAGGGGAGAATGCTTTATTCTTCGTGAAAACATCATACTACCCACTGAGAGCATAGCCTTGGGGAGGCACAGAACAGTAGGGCACACCACCCCTAAGCATAGAGCCCTCGTGTCTATGTGAACCCCACAGACTAGGGGGGTGGAGGTGGTGCCCCCAGCTCCGGTGCGGGCTGCCTTCCGAACCATCCTGCAGCTGTGGTTGAGCAGCAGTTGACATGGCTCTGGGAATTGCTTGTTATTCATCTATAATGAGTGCCTAAGAAATCACCGCAAAACGTATTCAGTTGACATTTATTTTCTGAACAGATGACAGGCTCTTTCATCCAGGCCTGTGTTGTTGTTGCTGGATGTTTGTCTTAGAAGCTGAGAACACCAGGCAAGCCATTCTCGTATCTTAATCGAGTTGTGCATTTGTGTGTGAGTAGGAGTGGGGACGGGATCCAGGCAGAGTGGCCAAATTCTGTCTTCAGCTTCTAAAAAAGATTTGGGTTGTGATGGGGGGCCCTCTGGTCTTCAGGTTCTACTTATGATGTCATGCTCCCATCCCCTCTGATCTGAGGAAACCCACTTGCAGGGCCAAGTGAGCTCGTATCCCATGGCTAGATTAGTCATTATTCTTGCACCTGATGGAATTCCCAGGATTGAGCCAAGGGTGTCCAAGCTGCTGTGTGGACTCTCCTGCTATTTATTCAAGCACATTGCATGACGTCATAGCTCATCCAAGGAAGCAAACATCTCTCAGAGGAAAATGAGGGAAGCAGGCACCACAGGTGTTTATGGACTGAGATCTTGCACTCAGCAGCCATTATTGAGCACCTACTGTTTGCTGCCAGGGCATGTGCCGGGGCTGCAGGAACACAGAGACCAGGACCTGACACAGTCTGTTCCGCCCTGGAGCACATACAGGAAGTTAGGTGGGAAGCTTCATCTGAGGGAACTGATCTCACTTAATTGGCTTCTTGCCCCATAGCTCGTTCTCTACCCACTCAGTGTGGCCCGCTAATTTTTGTCAAAGCTCCATGCTGAAGTCCCATCATTCCACAAGCCTCAGAACAGACTTAACATCCGGTTGTTTACTGACCTCATTGTCTTCCTTCCTTTCTCTCTGTTCTGCCCCCAATGCACAAAATTAGCACCCACTTTTTCAACTCATAAATGAATATAGTTTGAAACATCTTTATGAATCACTATCCCTTGAAATACCTTTGAAATCACTTCCCACTGTAGGAAATTTTAACTCCAGCAGTGCCTCCCCCATGGGTGGGCAGCCTGAGCAGCCCATAGTGGACCTGGGTCGCTGCTGTGCCAGTCTGTTCACCCTGTGTGCCGAGGAGGGGCTTGCTATGTCTCTGTGTGTTCCTCTTCTTTTTCAGGTGTTAGTAAATATTGGCAACCATTTCGATCTTGCCTCCAGTATATTTGTAGCTCCGAGAAAAGGGATTTATAGCTTCAGCTTCCACGTGGTCAAAGTGTACAACAGACAGACCATCCAGGTGGGTAGCTTCAGAAACGGGACCCTTTGAACTTTGGGTTACCATTCCCCATTACTGCAGACCCTATCAGCCCCTCTGTGAGGCAGGCGGAGGGGCTGGGAGCCAGCTAAGTCCTCTGGGTCAGGTCCCTGGGGAAGTAGGGCTCCATGGAAAGGGTGGGGGAAGGGCTGGGGGAAGGAGAGGACAGGTGTGTGAGAACAGTGGACCCCGCACGGCCTGCTGAGCTCTACCCTCTGCATTGTAGGTCAGTTTAATGCAGAACGGCTATCCAGTGATCTCAGCATTCGCAGGAGACCAGGACGTGACCAGAGAAGCAGCCAGCAATGGGGTCCTGCTGCTGATGGAGAGGGAGGACAAGGTGCACCTCAAACTGGAGCGGGGCAACCTCATGGGAGGCTGGAAGTACTCCACCTTCTCCGGCTTCTTGGTGTTTCCCCTATAAACGCCGAGCCTGGGGTGGCGGGGAAGTTGTAATCTGGACCCAGGAATCCACCCTCCCTAACCCCCTGAACTTGGCAGAACAGGACAACTTGTTTCCAAGCTCCGTCTGACTGTCGCGGTAGAAGAATGATTTCCTTCCAAATCTCCAGTGTTTTCTTTGACTATTGACCATTCCTCGGGAACCTGGCCTCTAATTAGTTTTAGACGATAAGGTCTTCAGGAGAAATGACACTATGGACCTGAGCAATTTGTACCGGTGATTGTAACGTCGATCTGGGATTTTACTGTTGGGACCTCTGCGATTTCTTCTTTTGTATGGACGCTGTATTGTTGTCCGGAGTGAGGAGTGTCCAGACCTCAAGATGGATTGCAGGGGGCTGGCTGCACTCAAAGCAAGAGCCCTGCAGGTCACCGCCCACTGGCCAGTCCGTGAAATGTGTTCTCTGTGTGTCTGTTCAGCCTTAAGAAAAAGGATGGCTTGGCTTTCATTCTGTGTGTTTCCCTGGGAGAATGGGAGGACTGGGGAGGGGAAGGGGCATTGTGATCCTGTCGGAAGTGCTTTATCTGGAGATGCGAGTTTTGCACGATCGGACTGGACTTTCGTTCTGTACTGTGTGTGTGTGTGTGTGTGTGTGTGTGTGTGTGTGTCCTCGAAGAGCTTTACTTTGCTTTCTACGCTCGGCTCTCCCTCCTCACCCCTGCTTTTCTTCTTCATGCTGGGCTGACAGAGAGAAATGTATGTTGAATTCCTGGATGAGACCCAACCAAACAAAAGGTACCTGTATATCAAAGTGAAAATGACAAATGGACAATTCCTTGGATTCTTTTAAAGAGATTCTCTCAGATGCACCATGAGAATGAACAACCAGGATATTTTTTTAACGCTTCGGAGTACTTTAAGAACCTGGCGTTCCTGGGTGGCCTGGATCATGTAAGATGAGAGCAGGTGCCGTGTGACCAAGTCTCCCGAGTATATGGCTTCTCTGTGGAGTGACCTGGGTCTTTGCAGCAGCATGCTTCACTTACTGGGATTCACTCTGCGTGAGCACACCTGGGACCAGGTGCTTCAAAGGCAGCAGGACCAGCCACTCTCCAGGGATCCCCTTCTGATCTGCCCAGGAAAGAGGGGTGTGGACACTCCCCTGCCCCCTGCGTGCACTGGGAGGAAGCCAGGCTGGAGTCCCAGTGGTTAAAGCTATTGGCAGAGGCACCCTAGGAGCGGTTTCTCAAATCCTTCCTGTTTTGGCACCTTGTATAACAATATTATTAAAATCCAGCTGAGCGTTGATGAGTACAGAATTCCTATGCCAAGGAGATGTCACTAGTCCCAAAGCAGTCAAAGAAGAGACCTCAAACCGGATGTTAATTTGTCCTTTGTGTAACAATGTAACCAAAATATTGATGATAAAGAAGTCATAATTTAAGATTCAGAATAAATGGGTTTGATGTCTGGCTTGCTCTTCTCCCTTCCCATTGTCTCCCAACTCCCAAATTGTGTGTAAGTATCAGCCAAGGGTTAGGGACCTTGCCAAAAGTAAATCCATACCCTGCCTGTTTGAACACACACACACACACACAGATGTAGTAATGGGTCAGATGGAATTTACACATAAAATACATTTTACTTAGTACATAATATCTTTCACACAGGACAATTTTTGAAGAGATACATTTAAAAGACAGCATTCAAAAGGTGTTGTGGATAGGAGTCTGCTTTTGTCATATGTAATCATTGATGTGGTCCCTGTTCCAACTGAAGACCAGTGATTAAAAGAAACTGACATTTGAAGAGAGAGTCAGTTGTTTCTAAGGCATGTGAGAGATTGGAACGGCATTGGCTTTCATTTTCCAAAAAGAGATGCAGTGGGGACTATATAAATGAAAAACTATAGTTTCAGTAAGGGTCTGAGTTTCACTGGCCTTACGTGAAGAGCATGATAGGGTGCAGAATAAATTTAATTTGAATTAAAATGCTGTTACATTTTGTGAAGATGGGGGAAATATCAGGAAATATCAACCCAAAGACACTTGGGGTGTTTTGGCTCTGTGATCACTAGAGATACTTCTGAGCAAAAGCATTGTTTATGAATGCTGATAACATAAACAGCAGGATGCTGGCTAATATATTTTCTCTGTATTTTATTGCCCTTAGTTATTTAGTCCTCTTTCTCTCATTTCCTTAACCTTCTGTTCAATTTAAAACAAACAGCAAACCTCATTAGAAGATAATACAGCACTTCAGAGAGTGAAAGATATATGAGTACTTGTTATTTTTATTGCTTACAAATACGGAATACACGCATTTCTTTGTATTTACAACTTTATTACATAGAGGCTGTCATTTGGTTATACTGTCTGTCTAATAAATAAGTTATTAAATTGACTGATCTAAAAATAAGTATATTTCAGGAGTTTATTTTGTTAGGTAAAATGCTTCATTCTGTTTATTACACTCTTTTTTTTTTTTTTGAGCTGATGCCAAAGACTACATTAGGAAGAAGTGGTGACACTGGTGTTTCTGCAGTTGTTATAACTCCCTGTCACGTCTGCCCGGGTCCTGTGATGAAGCTCCTGTGTATGGTCTACAAAAATATATAGGTCAGAGCAAACTTTGAAATTGATTTTCCTTCAATTAGTAAAAAGAGGCAGGTGTGATATTTGCCGCCCAATTTGAGCAGCCCCATCTCCGAGCCTCAGTTACCCCACCTTTGGCACGAGGACCATGACCCCTGTGACCCCCTCCCCCCAGCTTACCAGACTATTGTAAGGGCCACACTGAGACCTGAGGACTGTCAGGCACCTTGATGACAGGCGGTGCCAATGGTGTGGAGGGTGTTTCTGGAAAGTCTGACTTTTCAACATGCAGTTTATGAAAAATATTTAACATATCTGACAGGAGGACATTTTTATGTGAATTTCCATTTTCTCAAAGAGTGTGGTAACACTGTGGTGTTATATTGAAGTATCATCTGATTTTTATGAATGGTAATATGAACATATGCAAATCTATACATTTTTCACATGAACTCAGTTATGTTATTTGATTATCTTTTGTGGCTCAAGCCCACCTTTCTGTTCTAGTAGGTATGCCAATATTTTATAAAAATATACAGCTATAGCATTTTTAGCACAGGTAAATAGTGAACTATCAATTTTTTTTTTGCATTATGATAGTAAGTTGGCCTAGTTGGTAAAGGTTAGCCCTACTAACTATAAATGCTTTTTTAAAAAAAAAATAACAATTTTTTAACTTAAAATATATTCTAATTTGAAACACATCCCTGATGATTCAACTATCTAGGTCCTGAGAAACTGTGTTTACCATTGTAACTGCTGAGGGTTTTTTGTTTGTTTTTTGCATCCTAATATTTTTTATTTATATGCTCATGTATAATGAAATCATTTAAATTTTAAAAATTGTGCTTATTATGACTGCTAAGAGCAAAAGTAATAAAAGCCTATTGAATATTGGCCTGAAAACTCATGGAACCCTGTATAGATTACATATTTACTTGTTTGGGAAAAAAATGTTTAAGCTAAATCTAATTATATCAAGCATCAGAAAAGTTAAAAAGTTATACAAAACAAACTGAAAACTCTGCTGTATCCTTACATTTATTTGTAATATTTGTACTATTTCCTTGATATCTTATCAAGGGAACTGATTGATATCAAGTCACATACATACATAGTAACTATTCCATATATATTGTTTGCCTGCAAACACCTGAACATGTGGTTTTTATCATAGAGACATAAAATAAAATACATAGATTGGCCACATTCTCCTGGACTCTAGAAATATGTGAGAGGAAAGTTTGATAAATCACTGTTTATCACTGTTTATGGGTTGCTCCAATACACCACCTATATCAGAAGGAGCAGAGTGTCCCATCAATGTATGTCCCCATAATTTTGCAATCTTTTACAAGGAAATAAACATGACATAAGATAATGTAGCTGTGAGTAAATAGTGTTTATATTTTCTACAGCATAGGACGTATATAATAACCTAATGCATAGATGCACATGAATAAAATGCTCTGTTACATTTAAGACAGTGCCAACACATGATGGAATTCAAAAGAGGCAGGTTACACTGAATCACTCTATAGGTTTTACTGAGTCATCTGTAAAAAAAACACATGTACAAAACGTAAAACTACATTAACCATAGAACTACAATGACTTTTTGCCCTTTGCCTTGTTTATGTAGCTGTTTAATTGTCATTGGGACTCACACTTTGATACTAAAATGGGATATTGCAAACATATTTTACATTTTAAGATCAAAGCCTATAAATTCTCACAAGACTCTTAAAATTGATTTTCTTGGCATTTAAGGAGCAAGCACAGCAAATACAAGGAAATAAGTTAAAATACATTTTCCATTTTGGAAACTCGGTTTTATCATTTAAGAGTTTTTGAGCTTAAAATTTTTTTTTAACTGATGCTCTGAAGAATGTAACTGATGGTGGCCACACTCGTTAAACAAGTCTGTTTACATATTTCCCAGCCTTTTAAAACATTTTTGCAGATGTATTTCACCAAAATACTATATTTCCTGCTTGTGCAGGTAGAGCACTACAATTTGCCCATATTTAGATGTTTTAAATGTTAATGTGACATAGCTATCCATGATCTATTTGTTCAGATCCAATCCTCATCCATACCTTCAAAATAAACAAATACTGCCCCCCCCAACAAAAAAAGTCTTGTCAAAATCATTTAAGACAGATTCAATGAATTCAAACTGTTTAATAAATGGCATGTGTGTGAGTCTGTATAATAACATTATACCAAAACCCGAATTCTAAGTAAATGAGCTTTCCTTCCATTCCCAAGCCCAGTAGGGTTACTTGAAATTTAAGGGCAGAAGCCACGTGATTTTTACCTCCCACGGATAACAGGAGCTCTGCTTTATTTTCCTAAGTGGATTTTGCTGTGGATTTCCATCACCAGAATCAGGGGCTGTGGCCTCATAAATTATCATCTTCATCAGCTGGCCCACATACACTCACTGTGTAGTGTAAATGAGCTCCTTGACAACTTAATTTGGAAAAGAAATCTTCATTCCCTCTTAGAATGCCTGTGGCAGGACTCCCCGGGGTTAGAATGCTGCTTTGCACTAGAACTACCTTAACAGAAGGGAGGCTATTTATGAATGAGCCAGCCTTGCAACCTGAGGGGCAGCGCCTTGGCTTGTATTATCTTGTTCCTTCACATTCTCTGAGAATGTTGATATCTCCTGAATTCATTGCAGGTGGCGAGAAACATTATTGGAAAAGGTTGGCAATACATTGGCATGTGGAACTCCTGAGTATTTTGCTTAAGTCTGTTTGCTCTCACTTTATTCATTTTACAGTACTTATATCAATCTCTTCTGCTTTCGAGCTCCTGTAGGCTATAGAGAATCCTTGGCTTTGTCCTATAAATGGACATTTATTGTTATTCTGGGTGCACTGTTGTTATGGAACTGACTTAAGAATATACCTAAAATATAACTAAATTAACTGGAAAATTTTGGCAAATTCTTCTTAATACTAAAACCCCTCATTTGCAACATGTTACATGGGTCTTAACAGATTCCTACTAGCTTTAAAATCAATATTAATATTTATTTTTGAATTGGTAACATTTTTTACAATCATGTAACTTTCAGGTTATATATATGTAGTTTCAGAGACCAGTCTATTGCTGACAAAAAATGTAGGACCTCAAAATATGACCCTGTCTTTTTTTCATATTACCAAGCGCCATGTGTGGATGTAGCACAGGTTTTGCTCTGAAATTGTAAACTGTCAGTGGAAAGAGGAAATTATATTACTTATAAATAATTTATTCCTTAGCGATCAGGATTTAGATATTTTCTTTTCATTCCATCACTGGAAACTAGCTCTCGTGCACTAGGGAGGCAATGGACCCAGGTAGCTTTGATTAGGTACATTGACTCATTGCTTCTAACTTCTTACTCACTTATTTGGTCTATGTTTTATATGCTTTTTATTGATTTTAGAGAGAAAGAGGAAGGGAGATGGAGGGAAAAAGATGAAAGAGAGAGAGAAAGAGAGAGAGAGACAAACCTATAGGCTGCCTCCTGTATACTCCCTATTAGGGATCAAGCCTGGTACACCAGTATGTGCCCTGACCTGAATGGACCTGTGACCTCTGGGTGCCTGGGAAGGCACTCAACCAAATGAGCCACACCTGGCAGGACTATGCTTTATATTTTATTTCTTGTATTCAGTCTTAGGAATCTATTTCACCAGAAGGTAGAAATTACATCTGGTCTTCCTTACAGACAGAGACTAAGAACTGTTGAGAATAATTAAGCCATCTGGTGCTATAAATCCAACAGAAACTTATGATCAGTGGATCTCAGCCTAATCTGCTCTTCATCCATTGCATCTGAATTACCTTGGCACAAAAGAATGACAGGGGGCTAGGTTTTTAAAGAGAAGTGCCACATCTCCCAATCCTTAGCAGGCAAACAACATGCACACATCAAACTGTGATAATTAGGGAAGACTTATTCTCCCCTAAGGCCCATTGCTTTTGATATTTAATTTTCCCTTTTTTTTAATGTCTCAAAATGTGCTGCACCAAACAGTGAATGGCAGGCAATTTTTGCATAGTATTCCTGAGTATGTTGATAGAAGAAATTATTTATTAAAGTAAGCTTTCCTTTTTATCTTAATGGAGAATGGAAATGAATCTCAATTTATGTTGTGATATTTTCTTGCAGAATTGCAGAAACATTTGTTTCAGAAAAAAACAACAACTCCCCAATAGATGGTGCTGCTGCTGTGATTTAAGCCACTAAATAATTAGTATGCAAAAAAGCTCTGGAGAGAGGCCTCTGGGAATTCCCTCACTTCAAGTTATAGAAATTTTAAAAAATGGGGCTTTATTTTTTCTTTTTGCAAAATGCAAATTGACATAATTGTCAATTTTGAAAACTTTGGAAAAATTTCTTGATGTGTTGAGGTCTAGATATTAGTTTTCTTCTCCATTGTTTGTATCTCAAATAGCTTTCAAACACAATCACAAACAAAACTGAGTGTCAACGAAGGATGGGCTGAATGTCCTTCCAAGTGTCATCTCCCATAATGCTCAAAAGGTCTATTACTAGAAGCCATAATATGAAAATTTCATTATAATGAAAAATGGAGTCCTTTCTTCCTAATTATGGAGAAAAAAAATTGCAGATTCCGAATCCTATTGGCAGAATGCTATTAATGAAAAACCTTAATATATCAAGCTTTACATGTCTCAGGCAGTGTTGAGTGCTTTAAAATTGTCTTTCCATTTAATCATTACAATAACACTGCAAAGTTGACACTATCATTATGACCATTTGACAGATGGTGAGAATATGATTTAAAACAATTAAATGACATGGTCCAGGTCTCATAGTATATGGATCCCAGAGATAGGATTCCAATCGTGGACTTTCTAACTTCAAAACCTATTCTCCAAACTATGGCTTTAA